TGCAAGTGAGATGCACAGAGCCCCGGCGGGGCTCGGGTGGCTTTGAATGTTTAATTGCGGCCGGGGCAGGCACTGCGTGTAGGAGGGAGTCGGGAGCCACAGCCTCTGAAATGTCCCGACTGCCGGTGAGGAGCCCCTAGAAGGGCAAGAACCTCCTTGTTCAGAAAATGAGGAATTCACCAGTACTTTTTTTCTTAATGCAGTTATTAACCTTTTCTATAGTATAGCAGCTATTTTATTCGAGTTCCCCTCGAATGCAAGAGATTTGATAGCCTTGTTCTCTGATACACCTTCTAAAGTTATAAGGATCAGACGTCCCTCTTCCCTCCTGACAGCCTCATCTATCTCAACTCCAGCACTGCCAATGATAACAACTCACTGTGTTCTTAATTTATGTCTAGCTGCTGGTACTTAGAAAGAAGCTGGAAATACCACTTCTCTCAGATGTCTGTCTTGGCAGTAAACTGGGGACTGTAAATTCTGGGTTGCTTTTGTCTTTATCTCTCTTAGGCAGGCTGCATTAAAGCCACATTTTGCTGCTGTGACTAGATCTTGTCAACATGAAACTCCCTGAAATTGTCTGCATCCAGGAGTGCTGTGGAGCAACTTTCACCATGTAGAAGGAATTTTTACATGTATCTGGTAGTGCTGGGCAGTATTTCATTGACACAAAATTAAAAATGAGTGGAACAGCAACACCCACCCGTCGAAACTCTGACTGCAGTAAGAGCAAACATGCTGGAATACTCAAAAAAATCAATATGAAAGCCGTGGTGACAGGAGGTGCTGGCTATTGTGGATACAAGCTGGGATGTGCTCTTGCCAACATAGGAGCTTCTGTTGTGCTGTGTGACATACACAAGCCTTTGTGGGTGATTCCCAGTGGAGTGGCTTGGATCCAGGTATGATAAATAATATCTTGCCAACAGTCAAAGTTAGTTCATTTGTATTTTCCATAATGTCTTCCTAGTTTTCACTGAATCCAAATACCTATTGCCAATTATTTCAAATTTCTGTGACCTTTTTAACTGTGTGGACATCCCACATGAATTCTGGTGAATGGATTTTAGTATATCTGAAATAATGAAACCAGCAAAACCTGTAATGCATGGGGCAGTTTCACTCCTGACCCCTCAGGATCCTGCCTTCATCTAGGCCTTAGCTAAACCACCTGTAGAATAAACACAGGAATATTGTGAACCTTAATAAATGTCTTTAAAGAGTTCTTTGGGTTCTATGGAAGAAAAGTATCATTATCAGCAAGCAGGGAGGTGTGCCCAGTTTTGATCCCAGGATATTTGTACAGCAAGTACAGTTCTTTCTGTATGGATTCCCTCTGTGCTAACCCACTGTGTGACAAATGCTCACCTGCAGCTTTGATCTCGTGTCCAAATATCTTCTGTTGTGTATTACAGACAGATATCAGGGATTACAGTGCTGTACTGGCAGTCTGTGAAGGGGCTGACTGTGTGTTTCACGTAGCTTCCTATGGAATGTCAGGAACAGAGCAGGTGAGTCCACATAGTTTTGGTTTTTTCTGTGTGACTGCCCACAGAGAGCGTGAGAGCCTTTGATGCTGTAACACTGCAGGACAGATTTCATCTCTTCAGATCGCCCTGGACTTTTGGTAAATTGTGCTGTGCAAACTGGAGTGCCACCTCAAGCAGGCTGCTTGCAGTGATTTCCTCTCATTAGAGGTTCCACCAGCACCCTGGGAGGGTGCTGGAGATGGAAATGGCATTGAAAAGCTCTGAAATACTGTGAAGACTAAATGAAGGACAAGGGAGGCTGCTTCCCTCCAAAACCCTGATTCTTCCCTAAACCTTCACATGGATCTCCTAGGTGTTAAGGTCACTAGGAGGAATAAAACTTAACTAAATTACAAATTATTTCATATATCTGAATTGTAACAATAACAATATTTGAAGTCTTTAATTGTTCACCATTGGGTAAAAAGCTCTACAGATGCTCTTGATGTAGCACTCTGAGTCACAATTTTATAATTAGAGTTACAAGCACACACACACATCCACACACAAACACACCTCTTTCTTATTTTATTTCATAAGAGGAACTTCAGTAATTACCCTGTCTGGATAGAACAGCTCACTCGAAGTTCTTTGCACTGAGCAATGCATAATTTGAATTGCTGTGGTTAGAGGCAACTGGTCACTAAAGTGCTACTGAAACTGTATTTAACAAACTGCTGCAAGATAGGTAATAACTGGACATATATTTTTAGAAGCACTACAATTTTCTTTGCTTCAAGCAGACTAGTCTGTAAAAACACAAGAAAAATACACAAAAAGTTTAAAAATAATTATTAGACTTCTTTACGTCTGAAACAGCAGTCTAAATGGCATTTTTAACAATCAAAGCACTAAATTATGTTTATTTGGGGACATTTCTAACATCCCCCTATTGGATTGAATATGTATTATCACTATAAAATGCACCATTTTTTTCTTTTCCTAGTTGCATAAAAAAGAGATTGAAAGTGTCAACATCAGTGGAACAAGACTCATCCTTAATGGTATGTATTTAACTGAGCCATTGGGCGTTAGTACAGCATACCAAACATCACATCCCATTTAGAGAAAGCCACTTGGCCTTTTTGGCACACTCTGTCACCAAGTGCTTGACATTGTTGGC